AGAATCAGGTCACCTGTGTTTGCAGCGGGGTGACCTGCGGGAGACACCATAATGCCCCGACAGGGCATTCTCCGGTCATTATCAGAGTGACCTGCGGGAGACACTATAATGCCCCGATCCTTAAAGCAGCGGTTCACCCTGATGATACATATATAGTGGTATATATATATTAATATTAAGTATATAGTGGAACACACAAGTATAGAGTACATACTCTATACTGGTGTGTTTCACGTCTACCGCGCTGTCATTTTTCACTGTTCCTAACAAATCAAGCCATAGTATTTATTAAAAACTTCATGGTACAGAAAAATCTACATCAGCGCAAAATCAAATAAACTACATCGAGAGAACACTTGACAAAAAACAACTGGAACTGGACTAATGTGTGTCGTTCGCATCGGTTACTGCAATGTCGGCGTCCGTTTTTTCGATGATGTTCAAGTCAGTGCTCATGTTAGATGTCCTGGGCCGGTTCTTCTAAAAAACATCAGTATCAGATGCGTAAACTTTTTGAGACGAAAGTTTTACCTTTGACGCCTTTGTCGCATTCTTGTGCAAATTGTAGAAGTTCTTTGTCCGGTAGGCCAGAGCGTCCAATACAAACCCTGAATAAACTATTCGAATTGATGTACAAAATGACGGAACAACCTACTTATTAGGAAATCCACAGTGCTTTCCGGGAGATCCTTGAATGGTCATTTTTTTCCTTTTTTTGCCAGTTTGCCTACATGATACTTTTGAGTTCCTCTGCCGGTTCACAAGTCCAAAAAATTATGTGTAAGGCAAGAATTCGTTCAGCAGTGATCCCTTGCATTGACGAAATAGTGCCTAAGAAAATCAAAAACATGATGAAAATGCAGAAAATGATCATGTTTATGTGCGCAAGCCGATCTCTTCCGTTTTAAGATTTCAGTCAAATTCAGCTCCTAAAAATACGATGCCTTTCGTTAATTCATTTCATATTCAAAAACCTCAATCGGGCTGGGTTTTAAAAAGCAGACTTTCTTTTTTCGGTTATACAGACAAGAGCAATTGTGGGACTATGATTGAGCGAGTTAGAAAGCTGAATATCATTTTTCCGTGTTGGAAAGATGGGTTTTGACAACTGCGATTTCTTCTTTTCGGTGTGGATTGTTGCCTCATCATGCCAAAATTCAAACAGCTTCTGATACTCGTTAATTTCGAATTGAGATTTTCGCGTTACAGCGGCTGGTTAATTAAAATTTGAGCTAGATCACTTTTGAGTAAAACGAAGTCAGAAAGGACCGCAATGGAACAAAAGGATGTGGAGAAGACGACTACCATCGAAACATGTATAAAATAGAGCAAAGAATGGATTTTTGGCAGCCCATCAAACTTCATGTGAGCCATATTTGAACAAGCAGGATTTTGCCTTCTAACTCGCCCATTCTTGACCCCACGAAATTTTCTCGTAAAATGACGTTTTCGCAAATTTTTGTTCTGCACTTGTCAGCTTGAAGCTACCCACAATAAGTAATGGATAGTATAAGTTACATGTTTTGACAAATTTTAGCTAGCTAGCGAAGCCGTAACGGTTTGTTGAACCCGACACAAGATTACGATATTTCAAGTTTGTTTAAGCTTGTAGTTGGCTTGTAACTTAGTCAAATCAGACTTGTGGTTAACAATTTGAGTCTAAGCTCACAAAATTGCACTCCGCAAATTTGCTGAGTTGGAAGGAGTCCTGAAGTAACCTACTGAATTGCGAAGAAAATGCTTACCTTCGATCTACAACGCCAGCGCAGAGATTGCAAGTGAAGTTGCCATTTTGGACGCGCGATCTCAACTGAACTGACAAACCGTCAAATCGATGTCCTACGGAAACGGTGACCTCACTTTTATTGATGTGCTGGTAAAATTAAGGAAAAATAATAAGCGAAATTGAATCAAAAGGCACCATTAAGTGTGATTAAGATAGAGTAGCTCTGGTATAATGACAAGTTTATCTTATGAAAGAACACAAATGATCCCAAGGAGCGATTATAAGCGAGTATAAGAAAGAATGAAAGCAAAAACATTGAAGGAAAAGGCATCAATCAACAAAAAGCAATCACCAAGAGAAGACGACTATTTCGCAACATCACTATCAAACACGCATGCGGTGTGCATTGGGGCAGAATCGCAGTAAAATCCGGTCAAAACTAAATTCATGTCTCCCGACGGTGCACCGGGTTTTGGTGCGATCAGCCATTTTGTGGGCGGTCCACCTGCGGGTGACAACGGCGAATGTCTGAGTACATCGAAGAGCTCGAAAATGGCAAAAACCACCATTTTCCAAGGCCTGCCATTTTGAATTTGGACGAGTGGAGTACGTCCCGCCATGGTCAGAGAGGCAGAATCGTTGCGGGACCCTCGCAGTTATAGAATTGCGACATGCCTTCTCTGACGGGTCAGGGAGAATCGCAAGCTCCTCCGCGCGTATTAGAATGGCTTGCGGGTAACGGATTTAGGGACAGTTTTCTAGACAAGGGCAGAGTGCTGTGCGCTCGGACCTGCTCTGTTCTCATGTTTGGGGTGGAAAACTTACATGTCAGAATTTCGGAACGTTCGTTTTAGCGAGCTGCTGCCTTCAAGCTAAGACTCCTTCCCGGCGATTTTAATGCATGCGGCCCCTAAACAAGCCAGGCGGTAGCGCATCGTGCCTGAGCTTTGTGCCTAAACCAAATCACAGTATCGTATCAGCGAACGATTGCAACAGTTTCCGTGCTAGCATGTGACTCATTGGCCTCGTCGATCCTCGCGCAGAACTGCAAACCTATGCAAGTCGTCTGCTGATTTCGGTACTGGGGCAGGTGTCTTGCCTTTGAAGATCAAAGTTCTATACATCATTTGCGACACTCTGCATAGCATATATACACACTCATACATATTGTAATTGCGACTGTATGAAATTCGCGCTCAAAGGACGGGAAAAGCGAGTTGATCGAGAAATCCACCCCATCTCCTACCCCTTGCTCGTGTCAGTTACAAATTACATACATGCAGACTGCAAAATCCTAAAATATAGTAATTTCGAGTCGGAACTGTAAAACTTATCGTGACTAGTCTTCAAATCTTAGCCTAATTCAATTATGTAAAAGGCTTGCAAGTTTTTGCAACATCACTGTGGAGAAATTGGGTTTTGTGGTTTCTTCAGTAAGCCTTGTTAAACTTGAAGTGCCACGCGGGACTATAATGTAGGAGTTGAAGTCGAAGCTCCAAATACGTTTCTTCCCAATCTCCAAATATGTACAGGTATATACAGATTCACTCACACGCCGTATGGTCGGGAGTGCAAAACTTGAGAATATGCTCAACTGGATGATCTCCTAGCGAACTTGAGAATAAGTAGGACTTGAGGGACGTCCAGCGAACTTGCACTCGAACTTGAAGGGATGGAAAACTTGCGTAGAACCAAGCATGCTCATGCGGCGATATGGGCTCTTTTTATACATCCACAGATCTGATAAAACTAAGATCTCAAAATATCCTTCAAGGGAAAGTAAATATAAGTGAGCTGATAAGCGTTACGAAACAAAACTTGAAATGAGAGAAATGCAAAACAAAACTTGAAGCGAGAAAACTGTACAACTCGAGATGATTCATCAAACAAATATGACATGGTCAAAAGGATATTGCATATACTATTTACAATAATTATCACTTGGTAGTCGATGTTGTCGACACTCCCCACGCCGTCACTGTAGCCTGCGATAATTGTTCAGTGCTTGCTTGGCATCGAGGATTCTTTGCTTGGCCAGTGGTCTCAGGTCCGGAACATTGCACAGCGCTCGATGATGTCCAACATCTCTTGGAAGGAAATCCTCGAAAATGGTTCCTTTCAGTCTCTTGCAGTACCAACACTCCCTCGCGGCGTAAGCGCATTCCTTGTCGGGAGGACAGTCTTCAAGACAGAATCGACAAAGTCCTTTCTGACGGATTAGGTCCAGTCTCCTGTCTCCATTGACTTAATGTGGGCAAGAGTCTGAGAAGTGTTCGCTGACTTTATAGCAGAAAGCACATTGAACTCCTTTCACCCCACGGTTCATTCCTCTTATTTTCCGACAAGGATATTCTTGAAAAGTTCTTTCCATCTCGATTATTTCGTGTTCGAGCCTTGTCTCCCAACTTTCTGGTCTGTGAACTTTCCCGGTTTCGGCCGAGGGTCCTTGATACTGCTCAGGGGGAGGCGACGTGCGATACCGATCGGGGAGAGGAGACGTGCGTCCCTTCTCAATCCTCCTTTCCTCGTGCAAGCGTTTTTCTTCATCATGCGAGCGTTTCTCTCTTGGTCTGCTTGTTTGTTGCAGATCCCTTTTGAACCGTTCATTTTCCTCGCGCAGCCTTTCTTTGTCTTGCCTCTGTCTCTCGATCTCGCGCTCCAATTGATCGATTTCGTGTTGATGTTGGCGCTGCTTCAGCGTCAACTCCTCCGTGCGCGATTTTTCGGACTTTAATTCTTGCCTCAATTCCGACAGTTTCTTCTTTTTCCTTTCATTCTTGTCGATGAGGTCGCTGGCATTGTTTAGAAGAGGCGCCGTAGCTGCTTGCTTGACTTGGAGCTGGTCCTGTAGGTTGGAAATTTGCTCTTTCAACTTTTCGATGTCAGAGAGTGCTAATTTCAATTCACTGCTTTCCGATTTTTCCTCACTTCTCTGGTCAACACTTTCTGCTTGATTGCTGGCTTCCTCATCATCATTTGTTACAATTTGTAGTTCACTGCTTTCCGATTTTTCCTCACTTCTTTGATCCATACTTTCTGCTTGGTTGCTAGCGTTCTCATCATCATTTGTTGCAGAAATTCGTAGTTCACTGCTCTCCAATTTCTCCTCACTTCTTTGGTTCACACTTTCTGCCTGGTTGCTAGCGTTCTCATCATCATTTGTTGTTTCCATTACTTGATTGGAGTTATCTTTTCGGGTCTCCTCTTGCTCTTGAATATTTTCTTTCAAAAGCCGGATCTGTTCTTGACTTGCTTCATTTTCTTGTTGAAGGCGTTAGACTTGCTCCGCCCAGTTTAAATTGAGTTCTTGGAGTTGTTCCTTCAGCTGTACGCACTGGGCGGCAAGATCCTTCTCCTTGCTTGCGTTGATTTGATTTTCCACCTTATTTAAATGATCCTCCATGCCGTTTATAGTCGTTTTGGTGAAGCTCATGAGACTTTCCACCAATTTGAGTACTGATTCGGCTTGGACATCATGTTCTTGTTTGCGTCCTTTTTCAAGCCATTGGAATCTTCTTCCCCGCGGTATTAGCCCAGCTTGCACTTGACGATCGTAGATTCTGTCCGTAAGAATGTACCATGTCCCAAGGCGTAATACCTTTTCTTTGGTCATCATTGCGCTTCGTAAGCATCTGTTGGTTAGCATGATCTGTTCCTTGATGGTTGCTTGTACGAAGTTTCCTTCGGCCATTAGAGACGTCCACTGTGTTCGTTGGGTTGTTGCTACCTTGACTTGATTGTGCAGCGAATTTAGGATTGCTTCGAGAGCAGGTTCGAGGAATTCTGCTTGTGGGCTTGCCACTCTCAGGATTGCCTTCAGGAATATTGTTTCTCCCTCCAGTTCAGCAGCGCTGAGTCTGTAACAGGATAATGAGTATATTCAAGAATAAAAGGCCAGTTGACTACTAAAACTCCTTCTTTTTTTTCTTTTTCTTTTTTTTTCCTTTCCTTTTTTTTCGTTTCCAGTTCTCAGAGTTTTAGTTTTGTCGCATTTTTGTTTCTGGACTTTGTCATAAGACTGCGCATGATAGCAAAGCATAACCTCCACGCTAGTTTGTAGAATGTTCGTATCGGTTTGGTCATCAGCTTTGCTAGAATGACGACGCATCTGAGTCCGCAAGTCGAAATTAGCGCATAGGTAATTCCTAACATAGCGATGAGTGTGATTCCTGCTATGAGTACCGTTTTATACCATTGGCTGGATACGTCAAATAGATGATAGAAGTCGGGCCACTGGATTTCCGCTGGAGCGCTTTTGCTGTTGCTCGTAAGCCACTTGTACAGCATTGTTTCGAAAGTTGCTGTATATTTGAGGATTCCTCCGACTTCAAACGTGGTAACCACCTCTCCGCATGAGACCGAACACTTCATGCAGACCATCGCTTGAGTAGGACTAATTCTCATGACTGACTCAATTCCCTGTTTGCCGCACGGAGCCGTAAAACTTGTTCCTTCACATATGATCTCTGCTTTGCTTGACCTAGAGGCGAAACACTTGATTTTTGCGTAGGCTCCCTTTTCGCAATTATAGCATCCTATCAATTGTGTGTTCTCCACCGTACAGATGTCGTTGTCTACGACGAGGTTAGTGCGTAGATCTTCTTGTAGGGTTACGATTATTTCTGTCGAAAGCATGTTCTGAACGGTTGCCTTGACGCCATGGATTAATTCCTCAAATGTTATTGATGGTAAAATTACGGGCATTCGTCGTTGCAAGTCCTCGAACTGCTTCAGTATCGGCACATTCAGGCAATTGCAATTGGCCTTCGTTTCGGCGGGATTACACGTACACTGCTCAAATATTTCATACCGTAGTGTTCTTGCCGCTTTACGTGTGGGACAGCGTAGAGCGGGCTTTAATTGATTATCCCAGAGAGCTGTGTTATTGCCATTCGATATGAATGAAGACTGGAGCAGAGGTATTGGAGCCATACTCACAGAGCTGAGTGTGAGAGAAAAGCTTTTCCATTGATCTGGTACGTTAGGGGGCATTAGAGCTGTGAACTCGTTTGTTTTCCCACTTTTGGCGTCGAAATGGGTGAAATCAATGGCCACTGTCTGTGCCCATCAATTACAGTGAAAGACCTCGAACACTGTCGAAGAGACAGGTTTCAAGTAAATCCGATAGAAGAGGCATCCGGAGCTCCAGTAAAAACAGTCACACCCCGGGCCGCCACAGGATTCAACGCAGTACGTGTTTGCTGGATACCCGTTCCCCACAGCGAGTTCGGGTATGAGACTGGTACTGTTTATTTGGGCGCATTTGCTTCCGACACACGACCCTACATGCGGACAACGCTTACTGTCTATGATCTCATAACTTGTGTCGCGAGTGAAATAGTCCGTGACCTTTTCGCAAGTGAGAAATAAGTTCTTCCAGGAGGCCCGTATCTGGTGGATTGTTGTTTCATTGTGCATTAACTTGAAACAGGCTTCCCTTTTGAACGGGTTCAACTTGAGCACTTCAGAATCTTGCACTTTACAGATTTGGCCTTTGTCATCATTTGTGCACAAGGTGGATGTGTGGCTGAATATGTTCACCATCTGGCATCCGTGCACAACCCCTACGTGCATACTCATCATCGTAAAAATGGCCAACAAACTGGTCAGTTCAATCGATTTTCTTCTTCTTCTTCTATCCTGCCTTGGTTGGTCTTGTGTCTCTGCAGCACTTGATGAGATGACGCAATAGTAGGTAGATGCTATATATCAGCAGTCGTATCGGTTTGCCTACTACTAGAGGAACGTACAGTAGAGCGTAGCAACCTGTTGCTATCAAGTATAGAAGCACCGTAAGCGCTATTATCGCTCCAACCGGCCAGCATTCTGGATTGAAGATGAGTGAGGCACAGAAGAGACAATCCACCGATTCGCAAAATGGTGCTGATGGGCACATTGCTTCCATTATGTCTATAGCGTTATTGATGCTGAGTTTCCATTGCACCTTGTGCTCATGCAGCACTATACTAGGTGGGAACCTTACTGTTTCGTTGTAGTGTGGCGAGTCAAATGTCTTACAAAAGTCCTCAGCGCATACTTGATAAGGCACTTGTACTTCGGAAATGAGTTGTACTCCACCCGAAATGCATTTTATGAATCTGGTGATCTTTGTTGCTTGGTCTGGTACTTTTTGTCCCCTCACTCCGTCATTTGTGATTAGCAGTCCCAACATTGTGACAAGTAATACTGCTGTGTTCAAGATGTTCTCGGCATAGTTTTTCTTACGATTTGGACGAAGGTTGTACGGATGCGTAGTTGTTTCCTTCGTAGTAGGTGTGATTTCACTACCACCCGCATCTGCTTCCTTTGTGTTTTCAGACTGGTACTCTTCTGGTTCCAGTGGTACGAGAAGGTTGACTGGCCTGCGAATTTTATGGCGTGAGGGTAGCATGACACCTGCCTCCCTTATGACCCCACACTGGTTTTTGACCAGTTCAATGATTCGTCCAAGTTTCCAGGCTTGACGTGGTTGCACTGGGTCTGCGATCAGTACTAAATCCCCATTCCGTGGTTCGTATGAGGATCCACGTTTTTGTCCTACGTCTCTCCGATGCTTTTCTCGTAATGATGTTAGGTAATGGGTCTGCCATACTTGCCAAAATTTTTCTACAGCTTTGCAGGAAGATTGTAGAGCTTCTATTGTTTGCCTCTTTGTTCGTAGCAACACTAGCTCTTCACTTGATACATAACTTGGATCTTCTTCTTCCTCTCTAGAAAGATCCACAGGGTATTTCATCTGTATTTCGTTCTGTAAAAAGTCTATCGGTCGTAGGGCGACTTCATTCAGATTGTCCGCTTCCATGTACAAGAGTGGTCTTGTGTTGAGCAAGGCTTCTATCTCCACAACCACCGTTATCAGTTCGTCGATTGTCAGTGTCTGATTTCCGAGCGTTTTGTGCAAAGAGAGCTTTACTGACTTGATCAAGCGTTCGTAAAAGCCTCCTTGCCATGGAGCATACGGTGTGATATGTTTCCAAACCATCTCTCTGTCGCTCAGTTCTCTCAGTACACTTGGATCATTTTTGGCCGCTTCATAACTTTCCCTCAGTATAGTTTCTCCGAGAAGGAAAGTCGGGGCATTGTCCGATGTTATTGTCCGAGGAACTCCTCGGCGTCCGAAGAATCGGCGGAGCAGTAACAAAAATGCTTTGGTTGACAGATCCTGGGCTATATCCAAATGAAGAAGCCTAGTCACCATGCATGTGATTATGCATCCGTAGCATTTTCCCTTGCTTCCGTCTGAAAGAGCAACATTTATTGGCCCGAAGTAGTCCAGTCCGACATGTTCGAAAGGCCTTGCTCGTTGTACTCGCTCTTTCGGAAGGTCACTTTGCTCTGGATAATTGAATGGTAAGTTGTAGAATTTTTGACAAGGAACACATCGACGGATAATTCTAGTTACTTGAGCTCGGAGTTTTGGTATCCATGGCTGATACTTGGATGGCCTTTGTTATGGCTTTCCCTTATTATGGTTTCGGCTAGCCACGTGTTTTGCAGGATAATCAGTGGCTGTTTTGCACTTTGATTCATCTTGCTTCTACCCAGTCTTCCATAACAGCGAAGGAGGCCTTCTTCGTCTTTCTTGATATTCAGGTGACGCATTGATCGCCTCATTTCTTGAGTGATCAGTATCTGGTGCTGTCTGATTACCGCTTTGGCGGCTACAGCAATTTCCGCGCCATTCAATTCTATCCCATCGTACACCATGTCCGGTTTCAGCCAACTTGATAAGACTATTGGAAGGGTTCTTTTCTTGTTTACCCTTGTTACCAAAATTCTGACGTATCTTAGCACATATGCTTCAATGCGCTTTATTGTTCCTAGCGGATGCTTCTTCAACCGGCCAAGAGGAATTGGAGTGGTTGAGTGTTGGACCTGTACATTTGCTGCTACCGTTACTTCGTTCTCATCTTCACCCGATGTTTTCTGTTGGAATAAAGTAGTGCCTTTCCATTCCTTTGGATGTTCGCGCAGAAATTTAGGCCCGGTCCACCAAAAGTGACTATGCAGCTCTGCTTTGCATAGACCTCGAGTGGCACAGTCTGCCGGGTTTTCAGATGAGGATACATGAGCAAACCATACTTGACACCCCACTTCCTTTATGTTCTTCACGATCTTCTCAATTTCATTGAGTCTGCTGGTTATCATCTTTCCTACTTCTTTCTGCGGTTTCGATTTGATCCACTGGAGAGCGATTTTGGAGTCTGACAGCACTACTGTTTGCTCTACTTTGACGACGGATTGTAGTTGCGTGATCGCTGCATTTCCAATTCGCATGGCCAGAGTAACTGCATTGAGTTCCATCTTCGGCATCGTAACCGTGGACTTGAGAGACGGTAACTTGCCTTTTGCAAAAAGCAAATTTGCTTGATCTTTAGAGCGCAAGTAGACACATGCAGCCATTGCTTCTGAGCTTGCGTCAGCGAAAGCGATTATGTCATGCTCTGTCTCTTTTGAGCATAAACATCGAGGAATTGATTTTTCAAATCCGTCGGCTTCTCTGATGATTTGTTCCCAGTCTTGCGCAAGTTTTTCGGGCAAAACAACATCCCAGTCAAAATTTTGCTGCCATAAGAAGCGTAGAAAGACCTTGGCTCTGTGGAGCAAGGGTGTCATATAACCCATTGGGTCATAGACGGAGGCTATGGTACTTGCAACACTACGTTTTGTGGTGTTAGTGCTGTTTTTCATCCGACATCTGATCTCTAGTGCGTCTTCAATTGAATTCCATTTTATCCCTAGCACTTTTGGTGATAGTTCCAAGGACTTGTCTTCGAGGGCTATCACTTGCATTGTTTCCTTATTGTTAGAAACGAACTCCCGGAGGTTCATGTTAAGATCTTGGAAAATCCTTTTAGTGGTGCGATACAACTCGACCGCCTCTTCCTTTTGATCTGTGGATAAAATGAGATTGTCCACGTACAAGTTTTCTTTCATTTCCTTCACTAACTTGCTGTTTTTGTATTGATCGAGATGGTAATGTGTCGTTGCTGCCAAGAGGAAAGGAGATGGCATAAGTCCAAAAGTAACTCGAGTGAATCGCAGAATTCGGATATTACTTGGGCTAGGTGCTTGTTTGTGGTTCCTCAACTAAAGGCACCTAGTGGCATCGCGATCTTCTTCGTGAAGTCGCACTTGAAGAAATGCCTTTTCCACATCCGATATCAATGCGATGTGTCCTACTCGGAATCTCAGGAGAATTCCGTATAGGAGCGGTAAAATTACCGGCCCTCGATGTAAGACATCATTCAGTGAAGGAGATCCCCTGTAATGGGCTGATGCATCGTAAACGATGCGTAGCTTCGTCGTTGACTTGTATGGTGTTATCACCGCCTGGTGCGGAATATAATGAATTCGTGTACCAGGTAGTGATTTTTCATTTACCTCCTCCAATATATTCAGACGAAGCTGCTCTTGGAAAACTTCATTATATTGGTCCAGTAGTTTTTCGTCTTTCTGCAGCGAATTCCATAAACTTGTCAGTCTTCTATGTGCGATGGCCTTGTTATCTGGTAACTCTACCTGAAGGTCTTTCCATGGCAATCGCACATAGTAACCGTCTTGCCGCTTTTCCACTGTCCTTTTGAAGTTCTCCCACACTTGCTGGTCAACGATCGCCTGTTGTTCTTTTTCAGCCCTTCCAAATTCTTCTGTTCCGGCAGCATCCATTTTCCAGAAACTTTCCCAAAGTTCTTGTTCATTTTCTTTCTCCTCTACCACCGCTTCTACTGTGTTGACCTGAGCTTGTAGGCTCCAGTAGCCATTCCACCTGTCCTTTTCATCTTCTGATCTTTTATCTGGGTCGGTAGTAATCTGGTCGAAACTCCGAGTTTAAAGCTCAGCGTTAACTCAGAGATAACTCTGAGTTACGTTTTTGAAACTCTGAGTTACGCTTATTGAAACTCTGAGTTCCGCTTTCGTAATTCCGAATT